AAAAATTGTTAACTACATTATTAAATTCTACGTAAAAAAGTGCCTTTATTTCAAATCTGTGTCTTCTATAATAACGAAGATATGAATTTTTTTAGATTTCGCCGAAATGTCAATTTTTGTCTATAAGTCGAAAACAAAAGACGATTTTCACCAATATTATTTTCTCAAAAAATGAGCCCCAGAATGTATTACTCGTTTTTGGCTAAACCTCTTAGTTTCGGAGATTCCCTATGTGGACATCCAAAATGCAGCACCCTGTACAGTGTCAAGTTGGACTTTTTTAATTTTAAATCCTTTAATAGCTTCAAGCGTTTTCTAAAAGTTTCGTTGAGTTAGTCATTTAGTATTCTTTTTTTATGTTTTCTATTATAATTTTATCATTACTTAATGTAAAGGATATTACCGTTAAATAAAGTTATTATTATTATTATTAAATGTTTGAATTGACGGTCGAGCGTAGCGGCGAGTTGTTTAAAGTAACGAGAAGTTTGTTTAGATGTATAGTTGGAACGGTTAACCGAGTAATATCAAGGGATTCGCCAATAGTAAACTTGCCTTCGACCTATGTATGTCTTAATCTGATGAAAACGGCCGCAATGAATATTCAGAGAAGACATCTGCCGGACGGTTAATTTACGACGCGGCCTAAGCAAACCGACGGATTACGAATTGGACGAGACTTCCTGATTTCATGGATGCATAACAAACGAAAAAAAAACGTGATCAAAGTTGGCTATAGTGTCAAATTCGGGTGAAATCAAGTTGGCAGCGCTCATTTCTAGTGATTTTTTCGTCGCACTGTTGGCATAGCTTTTTTTGCACAGTTGTGAGAAAAACAACCGAAATTTAACTTTAATCTCTGTTTCAAATTTCGTAGCTACTCTAATATAGTGTACCAAATTGCTATAACATTTATTCAACATTTTAGCAATTTTTCTTAACATAGTTGTCCATATGCATTTTGTATGATTCTTTTAACAACAATATGTTGTACCATGTGACCTTATAAACTAATGTAAACAAAAAATATACAGGGTAATTTTTGAAAAAAGGCAGGCACTGTAAAATTTTTGGCCTGATTTCGAAAATTTAAAAAAAATAAATGGCTTTTAATATAGTGTAAGTTGACAATTTTAGAATTTTTTTTAATGTCATTGTATACTATAGTACTCCTAATTTATTATTGAATAATTTGCTCAAA